GAGTGTCGCCTTTATATAGCAGTCGGCTGCTCGCAGACGAAAGCGTAGAAGCATCGAATTGTTCGCTATGGAAGGTTCTTGTTTTATCGTTTCTAGAACGTACTAGTTATCGGCTTCTCTCTTTCATCTGACATTCGCCTCGCATTTTCGCAACAGTATGTACATGTTTGCTAGTTGAAGCTTCGATGAAGCTTCTAGTTCTAAAATTACAAGCCCTAGCAATTATTCCAAACTGGTGCTTCCCCTTTGGCGAATTTATTTGACTAGCTCACGTTGAAATATTAATGATCAATCATTGATAATATAACATTTTTTAGTATTAAACATAAATAAATGCTTATGTATTTTCATACATTCGCACGATAATTGACTATCAAGGCGGCAGTACAAGTGTTGAGGCTTGTATATGTATGTACACTTTTAACATCTTCATTATATTTTAAAATATTTATTTATTAAATAATTAAGTAAATCATATTAACCCACGATCAACAATAAAACATTCCTATTACATTTCTGCCCGCATTTGTGAAATTCGTTGATATTATGAATATGTTAAATCTATTTTTCTATAGATATTATGGTCACTAGGAGGAGTAAAATGGCGGAATCCCAAACTTTTAAAATATCTTTATTTCAAAAAAAAACTGAACCGAATCCCAAACTTTTAAAATATCTTTATTTCAAAAAATTATGAACCGATTTCTTTAATATCGATGGTCAAATAATTAAAATACCTTTGGTTTAATGAGCATACATCTTAATCTATGAAAAAAAAACCGTGTCCATGTATTTCCGAAATAACTCAAAACCCAGTCATAAAACTATTGCCAGATAAATTTTGTACTGTCGTTCAAACTAAAAATAAAGTAATTCAAAGCGTCCTCCCGACATAATGAATAACTATTTAAATTATGACTGGCTTAGTAGTCGTGCAATTTTGGCAGCGAAAAATGTTGATGTTGATCTGGTTAACTACCAGATACAACAATTATTACCAGGTGATGTAATGTCATTTAAACATTTCGAAGCTAATGTACAACAAAATGAAGCAGTGAATTTCCACATTGAATTTTTAAATTCTTTAGACATAGCAGGAATGCCACCACACAATCTTCGATTGAAAATTGGATCACCGATTATCTACTTCGTAATTTAAATCCTCCGAAACTATGCAACGGTACATGCTTGGTGATCAAGAGAATCACTGAAACGTTCTTGAAGCAACTATTTTAACAGGAAAGTGTAAAAAGGGAATGATTTTGCCACGTATTCCGAAGATACCATCGGTTTCTCCCACACCATTTAAAAGGCAACAGTTTTCTATTCGTTTTGCTGTCGCGATGCCTATAAATAAATCGCAAGGCCAAACAATGTATATTTACGGCTTAAAACTTGGAAAATCTATGTTTCTCGTATGGCAATTATACGTGGCGAGTTCACGAGTAGGAAGACCATCGAGTTTATTTGTATTAGCAAATGACCGATTACTAAAAATATTGTACATCGATTGGCGCTTCAACATAAACTGTGATTTATTGGTTAAATATATTTAGAACATATATATCAAATAAAAACATTTAAAGTATTTATTAAATAAATG